GGGTGCTGGTGGTGCTGGTGGTGGTAAGAGGGGTGTTGAGGATGAGGGTGGGGGGGTTGATGATGAGAGTGGTGCTGTGAACGCGAGTGGTTCGAGTAATGCTGTTGTGCACCTCGCCCGTGCCTCTCCTCCTGGCGTCGTCGTCCACTCGGCGGGTTCCATCCCCGACTCTGGTTCTGGTCATTCCGCAGCGGGTGCTCCAGCTCCTCCTCACTAGTCTCCTCCAGCCGAAACGACACCTCCGTGTTCTGCAAATTATGCTCGAGCATGATGCGGTGCTGCTCCTGCTCGTCGCCGTGGATGCTGAGGTCAAAGGCGGACCCTGTGGTGCGCCTCGCCATGATGAATATAATGGGGTGTGTGTGGGTGTATGGGTGTGTCGCGGTAAAGGACGGTGGCAAGACAGCCAATCAACACTCGCTCAACAAGGACGCGAATGTCACGTGGGCGTGTCACACTTGAGTCGGAGCTCGGGCCGCATTGCCGCTGGCCGCTCACCTTGTTCCTTATCCAGCCGCCGAAGTAAGTATACGACGAGGACCACGAAGTTCTTCAGACTGAGATCTCATTGCATACGACCTCTACGCTGCCTCTTGTTCAACGGCGTGCACCTCATGTCTAAGAGATCAGTCTGATTCAGCATGTTCACCGTGGCAAGTCGAAATCCTCCACGCTCCTCCTCAGCGTTTCCGCGACTATTTCATACAAATGTTGCATGGATGCTTTTTTATCTGCTAAATCTCGTCTGGTTCTGGTCAAGATGCGCTTTATCTTAACGATATCGCCAACGGGGCTCCGGAACATTTCCCTCGCCTTTATCGCCGTCTGAAGTCTAGCAACTCAAGGATCTAAGTTCGCTCTCAAGTCTGCGCAGTTGTCAGCCAACTTCCAACTCGTAGCACCGGCTGGTCACCCATTCGAAACCTCTTCCACACAGAGACAGGCAAGGTACCGTCGACGGCGAAGACGACCAAATTCTTCCCGAGCGTAGCGTCTGGACCACATCAACTGCGATCCCTGCCACATGCGGTTCAATATCTACAAGGAGGCTTGGAATCTCCGTTCACGACCTCTGCGTTGCGGAGAGGAAGTGGAAGGTTGCGATGCGTGTTTTCTTGTCTTCGCATTCCCATCCCCCACCGCAGCCCGACAACGGCACCCTCGCCCTGGGTCTCAAGACCGTACGTCGTGCTCGTCGCACGCTATCCCACAGGTAAGACCTCGCCTGCTGGTCTAGCTATCTGCACAGTGGGAACGTTGGTGATTAAACGTTAGCTGTCCACTTCCTCCATCGACCCTTCGCCCTGGACTAGCTATGATCACGAGCCCTTGGAGAGCTCAAGGTCGTCCAAGCTCCCCGTCAACTGTACACCAACATAGATTGATTATCGACACGAGCACACAACAAAGCACGAGAATTATATGGACGGTCCTTGCATTTGATCGAGTCACGCACGCTATGTTCCCTCATCGCCATTCGCGGAGTTTGCGTAAATCTCTCTCTCTCCTCTTTGTGCACTTCTACTTATAGGCTTATAGGCACGCCTAGTCGCTGGACCCCTGAAGGTACCCATGTGCATGACCCTTCTTCTCCGTGCAACAGTTCTATGAGTATAG